AATTGCTTGAGGATTTTCATTATATCTGAAAATGAACCCAATATAATCAAGTAATTTTAAAATCCAATCATTTTATCACTTACTCAAGGTTGAACTTTACAAAAAACCATGCCTATTACCTAAGATTCACTTTAATGTAATAATTAATGTAATGTATTAACTAATAATATATATTTAATCATTAATAATTATCTTAATTATAATGTAATAATTTAAGAATGTTCAAAACAATTAAGTTGCCTGTTTTTCTAAAAGATCAAACTCAATATTCCCAAATCTGTACCTAGGCACACCCACCAAGGCACTGTAGCAACTCACAGGGTTCCAAGAGATGTTTTAAATTTTCAAGAAAAATACAGTGTAAGTGTCAAATACCTTATGAACTAATACTACTACTAAGTTACATGGGACACAGTTACACTGTGAAAAATATTGTGATATATCAATGGAAAAAGTGTGAAAACCTTTGCAATACTGAATTGTAAAGTAAGTTTTAAAAGTAACTTCCTTTTCTTTTGAAATGGTGAAGAGCATGTTTCATGTTAACCTGAGATGGATTTGTCAACCTCTGTACTACAATTAACAAGTAATTTAACAACCTAAAAAGGAGGAAAAAACACTTCTTAACACAATTTTTTTTTTGTGGGGGTAGACAGAGTCTCACTATTTCGTCCTTGGTAGAGTGATATGGCGTCATAGCTCACAGCAACTGCACACTCCTGGGCTTAAGCGATTCTCTTGCCTCAGCCTCCCAACTAGCTGGGACTATAGGTGCCCATCACAATGCCCGGCTGTTTTTGTTGCAGTTGTCATTGTTGTTTTAGCTGGCCTAGGCCGGGTTCGAACTCACCAACCTTGGTGTACGTGGCTGGTGCCATAATCACTGTGCTACAGGCACCAAGCCTTCTTAACACAAATTAACTTTTAAAATAATATTATGATATTTATAGTACAGTAATAAGATTTTAAAAAATGAAAATATACCCTACCTCTTTGCCTAAAGGACCAAATTATTCTCCCTCTTTGTTCAGTTTTTTTTTTTAGTAAGTCTTTACCAATTGGTTGATCTGATCATTAGCAAGTGACCCATATTTCTCCAATACATCGCACTTTAAACTGGTTTTCAAGACAAGTGCGGTGGCTTAAGCCTTTAATCCCAGCACTTAGGAGGCTGAGGTGGGTGGATTTCCTGAGTTCACGAGTTCAAGACCAGCCTGAGCAAGAGAAAGACCCCAGTCTCTAAAAAATAGCTGAGTAATGTGGCAGGCGCCTGTAGTCCCAGCTACCTGGAAGGCTGAGGCAAGAGAATCACTTAAATAGAAGAGTTTGAGGTTGCTTTGAGCTAAGATGCCATGGCACTCTACCAAGAGTGACAAAGTTGAACTCTGTCTAATAAAATAATAATAATAAAATAAATAAAAATGAACTGATTTCCATCTAGGGTACCACTCTCATCTCAATAAGATAAAAATTAACTGTACTTCCTTTATTATGAAAGTCACAAAGTCCTTAAGTCAAAGGGACCTTATAAGAAGCTGGTCTGTAAAAAGAAGAAAGAAAACACAATTTCTAGAAAACAGAAAGCACTGAATCTGAGAGGGAAAGACAGAGAGACAGAAGAAACTGACCTCCAGACCAACCTGTTTCCAGCATTCATGACCTCACGCTCGTCTACTTGGATAGCTTTCCTCATATGTAAAACGTAAGAACTACAGTAAAATTTGGATCTGTTTCAAAGCATCACTTAAAATCAAGTCAGAAATAGATTCCCAAGGCTACCCTGGATATTCTATTCTAACTCAGTAAATTGGGTTTGAAGATCACAATATGTGCACAACCAGATTTGAGAACTGTGACAAGATACTTTAAGTTGACTCATTCAAGACCCACTCAATGTTAACCCTTTTTCTTTCTTGCCTCCTCAACTACGGAGGCTAGCAGGCTAAATATTCATTTTCTAGCCTTCTCTAAAGCTAGGAACAATCTTTTAAAACAGCTATGGCCAATGATACATAAAATGAAGTCTATCCCCACTGCCACCATTCTATCTCCATCCCCTTTCCTCTCCCTTCTTTCTGCTTATAACTCTGATTCATGCCTATAAACATAGAGGTATATATTGTTTCTATAAACTAACATACTAAGAATGGCAGAGAGGCAAGAGAAAGGATAACAAAAACATATGGATTGGCAGTGACCATAGCTCAGTGGGTAGGGTGCTGGCCACATGCACCGAGGCTGGCAGGTTCGAACCCAGCCCAGGCCGGCTAAATTAACAATGACAACTGCAACAACAACCAAAAAAGCTGGGTGTTGTGGCGGGCACCTGTAATCCCAGCTACTTGGGAGGATGAGGCAAGAGAACTGCATAAGCCCCAAAAGTTTGAGGTTGCTGTGAGCTGTGACACTGCAGCACTCTATCCAGGGTGATAGCTTAAGATACTATCTCAAAAAAAAAATATGGATCCATTGCATCCACCTAAACTTCCTATTGTATGAGAAAAATACTTGAACTTCTTGTTGGTTGCAGCTTAAAGTGTTTCTAGGGCAGCGCCTGTGGCTCAGTGAGTAGGGCAATGGCCCCATATACTGAGGGTGGTGGGTTCAAACCCGGCCCCAGCCAAACAGCAACAAAAAAATAGCTGGGCGTTGTGGCGGGCGCCTGAGGCAAGGGAATCAACTAAGCCCAAGAGCTGGAGGTTGCTGTGAGCTGTGATGCCACTACACTTTACCGAGAGTGACAAAGTAAGACTCTTGTCTCTTAAAAAAATAGTTTCTAAATGACATGGCAACAAAAGAGTACATGATCAGGGGGTGCCTGTGGCTCAGTGAGTAGGGCGCCAGCCCCATATATGAGGGTGGTGGGTTCAAACCCAGCCCTGGCCAAACTGCAACAAAAAATAGCCAGGGCGTTCTAGTGGGCACCTGTAGTCCCAGCTACTTGGAAGACTAAGGCAAGAGAATCGCCTAAGCCCAGGAGTTTGAGGTTGCTGTGAGCTGTGTGATGCCACGGCACTCTACCAAGGGTGACAAAGTCTCTACAAAAAAAAAAAAAAAAAGAGTACAAGATCACCAATGTACAGTTCCATTCTAATTTTAAATACAGTTTAACAGGGCTGGAACCCGTAGCACAGTGGTTACGGCACCAGCCACTGACACCAAAATTGGTGAGTTTGAACCCAGCCCAGGCCAGCTAACCAATAATGACAATTGCTACAAAAAATGGATCCAGAATCCAGTGGGAGCGGGCCAGAGCAACCTCCAACAAGTACCTTGATCAGAAGAAGGGGGCCATGGCCACATGGGGTGAAGATCAAACCTCGAAGCCTAGAGGCACAGCAGGGATTGGAAGCCCCACATAGTCCCTAAGGAACCACCTAGCTGCCAATGGCCAAGTGGCCATCTTGGGCACAGCCCTCCACGTGGCAGGGAAAGAAGGGCTCCTAGGAGTAAGGGAAGGGGCCACCTACACAGAGTAGGCAGCTGCAATCTACTGTTTACCACAGGAGTTAGCCTGCCCCAGAGGCATCTACCCTAGTCAAGAACTAGCCACTTTTTTTTTTTCTTTTTTTTGAGACAGAATCTCAAACTGTCATCTTGGGTAGAGTGCCATGGCATTATAGCTCACAGCAACCTCCAACTCAGGCTCAAGCAATCGTCTTGCTTCAGTTTTTCTATTTTTTAGTGGAGATGGGGTTTTGCTTTTGCTCAGGCTGGTCTCAAACTTGTGACTTCAAGCAATCCATTATACATTATATGTGGCAAAACACAGCCCATAATCTTTAAACTAATAAATGTAATTATATTTTGATTTAGGAAGGTCAGAAAGCTAATTAATCATCATTCTCCATGTATCTTCCTTCCACTTCCCCATCTTCCTTTTTTTTTCTTTTGAGACAGAGTTTCATTTTGTCACCCTCCGTAAAGTGTTGTGGTATCATAACTCACAGCAACCTCAAACACTTGGGCTCAAGTGATTCTCTTGCCTCAGTCTCCTGAGTAGCTGGGACCACAGGCATCCGCCACAACGCCTGGCTATTTTCAGACAGGGTCTCACTCTTGCTCAGGCTAGTCTCAAACCTGTGAGCTCAGGGCAATCCACCCGCCTCAGCCTCCCAGAGTGCTAGGATTACAGGTGTGAGCCACCGCGCCCAGCCTTCCCCATCTTTCTTTTAGCCTACCTTACCAATGTGAGAATGAGAAAACAGCATCTATGTGTAGGAAACATACATTCTGTGAAAGTCACTAACGATCTATCATAGGGAAGCCCATCATCTTCTCTATACAGAGTGGGGTTCTGGTTAGAAAAATAACTGTCCCAAGGTTGAACTATTTAATAGCATAAAAGAGTAAATAGGCTCGCGCCTATGACTCAAGTGGCTAAGGCACCAGCCACGTACACCCAAGGTGGCGGGTTCGAATCCAGCCTGGGCCCGCCAAACAACAATGATGACTGCAGCCAAAAAATAGCCGGGCGTTGTGGCGGGCACCTATGGTCCCAGCTACTTGGGAGGCTGAGACAGGAGACTCGCTTGAGCCCAGGAGTTGGAGGTTGCTGTGAGCTGAAATGCCATGGCACTCTACCCAGGGGGACAGCTTGAGGCTCCTATCTCAAAAAAAAAAAAAAAAAAAAAAATAGTAGTCAACAATGCACGTCCTTGCATCAAACCCTTCCATTTTGCTCTATACCTAATTCATACTAAAGACAACTATTACAGATGCATAAAATACATGATTAAATATTCACTGAGATCCCAATCGTAACAAAGAACCAGGCTAGACAAAGCAGGTATGTAGGTAGCTAGTTGGGAATGGGTGAGGAGAAAGGGCTCAGGAGACATACAAAATATCACCACAGAATAAAGCGAATACATTACAAAAGTAGCTAATATTTTATTTTCTCTTAGGCAATATCATCTTTAACCTTCATGTAAATAATAACCTGATTAGAAATACACTAATTTTCAAGCATGTTTTAGTTAACTTTTCCTTCAACTTACCAGTATTTGTTGGAGTGTTGCTGGTTGTGGCCAGAGATCCTGTGTGGTTTCGGATAAGATTGTCTTGGGCTGATGAGGGAAGGCCTGGAGCTGACCATGACAAAGTATTGTATCCTGAAAGGCTCTGCTGCTGGTGGTATTGTTGTGATGGTGGAGGTGGAAGTGGTGATGGATGGCTGATAGCTGTATTTTGACCAGAGAATGAATTATCTGTAACTGGCCTGACAGGCGGAGTACTCTGTGAGGTAAACATTTGCCCATATGGGTCACCAGCAGGCAGAGACGGATATGAAACACTAGGGTATACAGCATTAGAAACAGTTGACATAGCATAATGACCACAAGTGGAGGGAAATCCCTGAGAAGCAACAGAAGAGTTGGCAGAGTACAAGGCTGAACTATTATAGTGATTCACAAAAGAGGAGTAAGGTGGGGAGGCACTCGTATGCAAATGAGATGCTGACGATGCAGCAGCACCCCGGAAAGATCCTGGTGTGGAGCCCACAACAGCAGGAGGACCCCTGCTATACATCTGCTGTGCTCCTGGTTGTTGGTTTACCGTGCTGGGAGTCACCACATTTTGTGTTGATCCTGTATAGAGACCAGAGTAGTAATCATCACGCTGGGTATCCAATGGTAATGAGGTCATTTTCCCAGGTCCTTGAGAATAATGTCCTGAGGGAGCAATATAGTTCTGATGATACAATCCATACCCAGATGGAACTTGCATTTGATTCTGTGCTGGACCTGTAAAAGAAAACAAGCACTTATAGGGATGGGCAAAGGAGTAACCAATTAAACATAGTTCCATCTTAATGGTGACCCAGTTAATTTCCTTCTCCATAATTTCAACTCATACCAGAAGATAATACTGTTACAAACCCACTGTGGTAGTGAGCCTCCGAGATGGCCCCCATGATCCCTATTCCTGTTATTCACACCCTTATGTATTCCCCCCTCACAATGTACAAGGCATGGTCTGTGTGACCAACCATATACAGCAGATATACCACTTCCAAGATTAATCCAGTCTTGGGCTCTAGCTGTCCTTCCCTCAGAATGCTCTGTCTGAAAGAAACAGGCTGCCAAGCTATGAACAGTCCACAGAGAAGCCCATGCAGTAAGGAACTGAATTTTCTGGATGACATCCAAAGAGAAACTGAGGCCTCCTAACACCCACATCAGTGAGCTTACCAGCAGATCCTTCAAATTCAGTAAAGTCTTGAAATAACTATACCCAACTAATGGCTTACTTCCAACTCGTGAGAGACCCTGAGCCAGAACTACCAGCTTGGCTACTCCCAAGTTTATGTCCCTCAGAAAAGAGATAATATGTATTATTTTAAGTTGCTAAATTTTAGAGTATGTTGTTATGCAGCAAAGGCTTGAGCCACTGTGCCGGCCTAGTTATAATTTTTTTTTCTAAGAAAAATTTGCATAGGCTTGGTGCCCATAGCACAGTGGTTATGGTGCTGGCCACATGCACCAAGGTTGGCAGGTTTGAACCTGGCCCAGGCCAGCTAAACAACATGATAACTGCAACAAAAAAACAGCCAGGCATTGTGGTGAGCACCTGTAATCCTAGCTACCGTACTTGGGAGGCTGAGGCAAGAGAACAGCTTAAGCCCAAAAGTTTGAGGTTGCTGTGAGCAATAACACCATGGCACTCGACTGAGGGTGACAAAGTGAGACTCTGTCAGGCCTGTAACAGTTCAGTGAGTAGGGCACCGGCCCCATATAATGAGGGTGGTGGATTCAAATTTGACCCTGGCTGAACTGCAACCAAAAAACAGCCAGGCATTGTGGCAGACGCCTATAGTCCCAGCTACTCAGGAGGCTGAGGCAAGAGAATCACTTAAGTCCAGGAGTTGGAGGTTGCCATGAACTGAGTGACGCCACGGCACTTTACCAAGGGTGATATTTTGTAGAGATTCGGTCTCTACAAAAAAAAAAAAAAAAAAAAAAAA